CTTAAACAGCTACACTTAAAACCAAATAACCAAAATACTTTTTTTTTTTTTGGCCAGTCCTGTGGCTTGAACTCAGGGCTTGGGCACTGTCCCTGAGCTTCTTTTGCTCAAAGATAGAACTCTACCACTTGAGCCACAGCGCCAGTTCTAGCCTTTTCTCTATGTGGTACTGAGGAATTGAACACAGGGCTTCATGCATGCTAGGTAAGCACTCTACCACCAAGCCATATTCCCAGCCCCCAAATACTCTTTAAACATGAAAAGAAACTATGGTAAAATGTTTTATGAGTTAAGAAATCTACAACAAAATACACAGTTAGGAAAGGGTTAGTTATATCAGAGAAAGAAAACTTCAAATGACATGTATACAATTATTTCTTATTATGCATCCATATGTAATTATTATTTTTATTCTATGTTCATCACTGTACCATTTCTTTGCAAAGAAAAATATAGGGTGGTAATTTCAATGATGTGAATACCACACAAACACAACATTTCCCTCCCTCCACCCCAGGCATCAAAGATGGGAGAATTTCACATCAACCAAAACAAGCCTTATTAGAAAACAAAATGAAAGTACAAATTCTTTTAGACACAAAATCCTATCTATCTATCTATCTATCTATCTATCTATCTATCTATCTATCTATCTATCTATCTCAAACCTTATGAGGACCAAAAAAGATATAATTACTTTGATGAAACTATGAAATCATGGCTAAAAAGTCATTTTTGAATTTTATCACTAATTTGAAAAGTACATCTACAGGAAGTAACAGGATTTTTAAAAACGTGGGCAGGGAGTATGGTACTAGAGGTCAAATCCAGGGTTTCATGCATGGTAAGGCAAGTGCTCTACTACTGAGCTACATCTCAGGCCCAAGGTCTTAAAAATATTTTGTAACAGCTGCTCATACCCAGTATCATGAATGTAAGAAAAATATTCTGTACATTATTCTTTATATTAACAGTGACTTAGCCACAGTCCAGCACAGTTAAATTTCTAAAATTGTACAACCCTATGTCTGAATCTCAATTTCCAAACTCATGTGTAAATTCATCTGTAGTGGGAAAAATCTACTAATCATGTCTATTTATCAGGACTACATGAATTCATGCATGTGAAGTGCTTAACCAGTCCTAAGACAAGATAAAATTTCAGTAAATGAAAACCAAAGTAGTCAGCTGCTCCATCAAAATAGGCTAAAATAACTATTAGAAACAAAAATGTGGGTGGTGCCTGTGGTTCATATCTGTAATCCTATCTATTCAGAAAGCTGAGATCTGCGTATCCTGTTTTGAAGCCAGCCCAGGCAAGAAGGTTTATGAGACTGTTTCTTATTTCCAATGAACTTCCAAAAAAGCTGTAAGTAGAGATGTGGCTAACTGGTAGAGTGCTAACCTTGAGCAGAAAATCTCAAGGACAGCTCTGAGGCGGTTGGAGCACTCCTGGGCTTTAGCCCACGGACTGGCACACACACACACACAAAAAAAGGAGGTAGGGTTATTGGGTACTTTAATTCTCAATATTGTACTATATATAGCTGTTTTCTAATTTATTAGTAAGTATTATGGAACATCAGGCCAAAAAATAGTTTAAATGCATGTAAAAACAACTCTCATTTTCCATCCTTGGAGAGATCACATTTCTATGCTAATTTTCTTATACATCTGGACTATTCTGACATTTCTCATTCCAGAGAGTAGAAAGTGGTATCTCATTGTGCTAATTGCTTGATGAGCATTTCCCTAGTCACTAATGATACTGAGCATCTTTCCCCATGCTTACTGGACACTTAAAATATCTTTTTGGGAAAATGTCAAGTCCTGTTCCCACTTGTTTGTTTTTTGAAGCAATATCTCTCGACGGAGTTCCACGTTGCTGTGTGACTCATCACTCTCCTACCTCAGCTGCCAAGTGCTGGCGTTACAGGTGAGCACCATCATGTCTGGCTCCTCCACCCCTTTCTTTCTTCCTTCCTTCCTTTTTTTCTTTCTTTCCTTCCCTCCCTTCCTCCTTCCCTCCCTTCCTTCATTCTCTCCCTTCTCTCTCTTCCTTTTTCTTCCCTTCCTTCCTTCCTTCCTTCTTTTCTTTCTTCCTTTTATCCTTCCTTGCTTTTCTTTCTTCCTTGCTTTTCTTTCTTTCTCTCTCTTTCCCTCCCTTCCTTCCTTCCTTCCTTTCTTTCTTTCTTTCTTTCTTTCTTTCTTTCTTTCTTTCTTTCTTTCTTTCTTTCCTTTCTTTCTTTCTTTCTTTCTTTCTTTCTTTCTGTTTGTGCTGGTCCTAAGGCTTGAACTCATGGCCTGGGCATTACACCCAAGGCTTCATGCATGCTAAATGCATGGTCTACCACTGACCTGTGTATCTCCTGCCCCATATTCCTCTACATTCTTCACAATTTTATTGTAAACAGAACTGCTCTTGTTTTGTGTATTCTGTAGATGTACATGTTATATTACGTAGTATTAAGTGTATTAAGTAGTATTAAGTATTTGTGCACCATTCTTTTTCACCACTGCTGTGGTATAAACGTATGTTAAAATCATAACAGGTACAAGAAGCACATACCTGTAGGAAAGCTACCACCTTGTGGGAGAAGAGGAAGAGCAGAATGAGATGAAATAAAGAGAAAACTGACATCTGTCTATGTATTTATATTGGCTGTACTGGGGTTTGAACAAAGGGTTTTAAGCTTACTAGACAGGCACTCTACTACTAAGCCATGCCTCCAGCTCTGTCTTTTGTTTTGAGATAGGGATTCAATCCCTGTCTAAGAATAGGCTTGCCTATTTTAGGCACCCTATCATTTCCAAGATGATAGGCATGTGTCACCATGTGCAGCTTCCCTCTGAGAGATGGAGTCTTGTGGATTTTTCTGCTCAAGTTGGCCTAGAACTGCAACCCTCCCAATCTCTGGCACTCACATGACTTACGATGATAGACATGAGCCATGGTGCCCCCAAAGAGAGTTGGGAAAAAGGTCTTGAAAACTTCTACTTGACTTTAAACTAGGATCCACTTGATCACAACATCCCAAATAGCTAGAATTACACCTGGCTATTTATTATTTCATTTTTTCAACAGTAGAATTGTTCAGAAGATCTGCACATTTGCTATACTTTCCTCATTTAAATTTTCTCCTATTTTAAAACATCTAATATATTTTTAAGTGGTTTATTTGAACTTTACTGTGCTTATATTATCTCCATATCTAGACTGTCATTCTAAGATAATTTTTTTCCTTGATGTGTTAGTGGGTATTCTAGAAAATGAAGTAAACAATCACAGATTTCCCTTGATGATGAAAACAAAGAGTGACAATATAAATATTCTCACACTACAGTGCCTTTACTTATCCCAGAGCGCTCAGTCTTCCAGATGGGAAACATGCCCAGGAAAAAAAGACTTCAGGACCTAGAGCATATGCTCTGCACAGGTATGGCTGCTAAGTCAGTACGTGCAAGAAATAGTATTTGGTACCATGTATCAGGTTGGATACTTTCTGGAGAAATTTAAATATACTAATTTCAAATTCAATGAAGCAGGAGATCATTTTATAGGAAAAAACTCAGGAGACACAGGCTTGAGCAGGCAGGCCATGGAATTGAAGACAGGTACGAAGAAGTTATAGCTCTACCATATGATCTGAGCAGTTGTCTAAGGCAAAGTGCTGTTTTAAAAAAACAATCATTGTCTTAGATTACAGATCTCAGAAAGGCCTCAGTGGTGAGTCTATATGGAACTGAAAATTTTCTGAAATCTACATTTTTGTAAAGTTCACCTACCCTAGAAAGACACTCCACTGTGATGGTAATATTTGCCACTCAATTTATATCAGTTACTGTTTAACCTGATAGATGGTTAGTGCCCACTTGTGAAATATATCACAGAGTCAGAAGAAATGTGAAGGATCACAAAAGGTTTCCTACTATTAAACTCCATCATAGCTACCATTCTTTCAATAAACAAGGCATTTTGCAATAAACAAGGTATTTTGGCATATAAAATGAATCCAAGTATCAAGAAAATCAAGGAACAGTACTCAATTAGTGAACTGATCTTACTTATTTGTAAGTCTGACTACTACACAAGGATATCAGCTTCTCCAGGGCAACCGCCCAGGCCTTATCTGGCCTAATAGGCAAGCAGTAAGTATCTACTGAATTAATGGAGCCTCATTAATTTCCAATTGGTAATATTTTCTTACTAAGAACAAAGAAGCACCACACCCATCAAGCCACATCAGTTTTTAAAGTAAAGTCATATTATTTTGACTTTCAAATACTGTTTAATATTCTGATTAAAAAGTCATTTGTATCTGCAACACAAAACGATATTTTGGTGGAAGCAGGAAAAGAGAAGGGCTGAGTAAACACATGCTCATTCTATTAACTATTTAGCGATTTCCTTGAGGTTGGGCTAACATACAAAAATCATATAAAGTAAAATAACAACACACTATGATATGTCTAGTGATTTCCAATCATAGATTTTAAACATCATTTGTACTACCATACAAACACCAAAATCTTACTGAACATTATTCATTGTAGACTAGAATTTAAACAAGTGTAGTCCAAGGGCACAAGTGTTAAATTCTTTAAACAAACAAAATATTTCAAAATGTAAACTTAACCTCAAGAACAGTATACAACATGAAATGTGAAGATAATAGTCACCGACAGGTGATAGCTACTATACATTTGAAATTATAACTAAAGATGTTCTCCACAGCAAAGGCAAAAATTAAAAAAAAAACTTTTCAATAAACGTGAAACAAAAATTAGTATCAGGAAGTGGATTTAGAATGTGGCTAAATGTAGGAATGTGCTTCCTAATTAGCATAAGAAAACAAAAAGTTCATTTACATTCAAATTTTTTAAAAAAGAGGAGAATACAGTAGAAAACTGTAAATTTAAACCGTCACTGATTAAGTTAGAAATGGTGTTAAGTATTGGAAGATAACTTCAACATAACCAAGAAAAGAAATAAAACTCACACAGAATGTTGACCCGCTGTTGGATGCAAGAGCAGCATGTTGCTCATCACGCAGTTTTATACAAAGCTCCCATGTACCGATATCTGATTTCACAACTGGCACTCTGAAGTAGAAAGAAAGTAAAATAGTTAAGAATTTTTATTTTTATTTTTTTGGGGGTCCGGTTTTGGGGCCTGAACTCTGGGCGTGGGCACTGTCCCACAGCTCTTCAGCTCAAGGCTAGCGCTCTACCACTTGAGCCACAGAGCCACTTCTGGCTTTTTTTTCTTTTTGCTTATGTGGCACTGAGGAATCAAACCCAGGGCCTCAGGCATGCAAGGCAAGTGCTCTACCACTGAGCCACCTTCCCAGCCCTAAAATAGTTAAGAATTTTATACTAGTTGCAATAAACTAATTTTCTTTTCATATTAAGTGTGTAGAATAAACCTGCTGAAGAGTGTATTTCAGAACATTTCATTTTAAAACATTCTACTGTTGGGGATGGGATGTGTCAGGGGGAGAAGTTTTCAGATTTAAACCCAAGAGGTTTAACAAACAGGTCCAACCAAGGACCACAGCAGCCACTGTGGGAAAAGCACAGCACATCATATCCTCTAAGAACCCTCATCCATCCATGAGGAATTTCAGTTGCTTAATTGTGACAATCCTTCACAAGTTTATCTCCCTTAATCAACAGTAAATTTTTCAATATTTGCTATTATTCAAGGCAATTTCTTAAAAAAGAAAATTTACAATAAAGAACCGTGCATGTACTTTAAACTTCAAAGAAATACAATAAATTACTAAGTCAGTATGGCTTGGTATACGGAATTACTTTGTTTTCATTTCATTCTTTTTTTTTTCTTTTCTTTTCTTTTTTTTTTTTGTCAGCCATGGGGCTTGAACTCAGGGTCTAGGTGCTATCCCTGAGCAATTTTTGTTCAGGCTTGCACTCTACCAACTTTGAGCCACAGTGCCACGTCCAGTTTTCTGGTGGCTAAATGGAGATAATAGTCTCAGGAACTTTCCTGCCCCAGCTGGCTTTGAACCACAATCCTAAGACCTCAGCCTCCTGAGTAGCTATGATTACAGGCATGAGCCACCAGCACCCAGCTTTCATTTTATTCTTTTTAGAGACTATAATCACATTTTAAAAATGTGCCTCTATATATTATTCTACTTGTAAAATAATAAAGAATGCTCTTTAGTGGTATCAATTAGAAAAAATTATAAAGATTATAAAGATTATAAAAACAAGTTGCAACTTCAACAAATACTAAGTGGTTAGCACTAAGTTATAAAGCACCAAAGAGAAATAAAACATGGTCTGTGTCCTTTCTAATGCTGGTTTTATTAAACACCTAAAATCTAAAAAAGGCTTCCAGATCTCTGAACAATGCTAGTCTTACCACTTAAGTCGTTTGCTATGTATGGTTAGTGTTACAAACTCCACAAAAACTGGGTCAAAGTAGCCAGAAGAGAGTACAAAGAAACCCCAAAGCCAAAAAACAAAAATTTTAGAAAACAAATGTGGCCCCCATCATTTTTTTTTGCAAATTCTTTATTGTGATTACGTGATTACATAATTTTATAGTATTGTGGGATAGTGATGCTTAGTTAAAGTCACAAACACATTCTAACCTTCATGGGGCAAATTGTCTATCATGGTCTATAAAGTTTATGAGTTCTATGGGCTTTGACTATACAGTTATTTTGAGTTGCTTAGTTCATTTTGATCAATGTCCAATGCAGCTGATGGGTCCCGCTGTTGTATGTTTTTCCCTGATTCCCTCTAGTTTTGTGTCCTCCTCCTAGTTTCCCTCTGGTATGCACATAAATACCATATATATGATCAGCAGCATAGGGTTATTTAGTAGTGATTCAACCAGATGAGTGGAGGTCCTTTGTTTCTCAAGTCTTATTAACTTATGTTTTAGATTGAACATCCACTTATCAGGGAGACCATGTGCTGTTTGTCTATTTACTCTTGGCTTACCTCACTCAACATGATTTCTTCTAGTTCCATCCATTTCCCTTCAAATGCCATTATTTTGTCCTTTCTAATGGCTGCATAATATTCCATTGTATATAGATACCACAAATTTTGGGTCTATTCATCTGTGGTGGGCCCCAAGCATTTTTAAAGAAATCAGATGTAATGATTTCAGAATTAAGCTAATTTAAATGTTATTTACAATATTTATACCCATTATTATTTACCAAGCACTAAATATTAGCACTTGGCAGAATATACGTTAAATCTTTAACAAGCTAGCTATCATTCAAGTTCTTAAAAAAAAAAAAGCCCCACTTTGGATCCAATTTTATTTCTGATTATTCTCTTAAAAGGCCAGCCCCTTGGCCTGGTGCTAGTGGCCCATGAGTAATCCTAGCCACTCAGGAAGCTAAGATCTGAGGATCAAAGTTTGCAACCAGCTGGGCAAGAAAGTCTGTGAGACTTTTATCTTTAATTAACCACCAAAAAACCCACAAAAACAAACAAACAAAAAAAAACCAGAAGTAACTGTGGCTCAAGTGGTAGATCTCAGGCCTTAAGCAAAAATAAATAAATAAATACATAATAAAAACCACCTCTAGAACAAGCCCTGAGTTCAAGACCAGGGACCAGCACACACACAAAATCAAGGCCAGTCCCTTTTAAACCAAATTTATAGACAGTGAGGACAAAACACCCAGGTTCTGCCAACTCACAGAAGTTGGTTCAAAACAACTTCTGCCATCATACCAGATCTTTCCACTGAGCCAATTTTCTTCTATATCAAACTATGCACATAATAACTGGAATAAGAAAGACATATTGAAGATTACATTAAATAATGGAGAGGCTAACTTTAATCCACTTATTTCCCTCCGTTACTGAAAATGCTGCCTTTACAGTAGCTTTGGACTCTCTCCATTGCTTCTCAGATTCTTCAGGGAGGAAGTCACCTCTCACAGGAACTGTCTTCTCCTTCACCTGCACTAAATGCTGTGGTTATTTTTCAGCCACTGTGGCCTGATGTAAGCAACTCTTTCAAGTGACTAGTGAGACCTTTTATCTTCCTGCTGCCAGAGGAGCTGGGAAGCGGCTGCTCTTGACATCCTGCTCCAAGGCAGGACACATTTTTCCCACAGAAAGCGATCTTGCAGATGGTGGCAAGACGAGCTGCCACTCTTCAGGAACTAGCTACTATTTATTTTTCCACTGCTTTATTTTGATCCACATCTGTTTCATATATGTTGTAGCTTGCCCCCAGGGGAACCTTATGGAACAGGCTTCTGAGTAAAAGCCCTAATGTTGACATCTCAGCCCTTACTCTTCCAACAGTGCACCTGGGAACACCTTCCATCCTGCTGAACAACATTCCTACATGGGCAAATGGGAAGAAGCAGAACTAAGCAGGAGACGGGAAGCTAGGGCTTCCTCTGGTACTTAACTTTCAAGGTGACACTTTTAGGGTATTACATTAAAAGACTGTAAAAGAGAGGCTTCACTGTGAAACTAGACCTTGAGATTCCAATCAGAGGCAAAAGTATGGAATCCCTGCATGAGTTCAGTCTTCTACAGATCAAATTTGCCTTCTACCTTTCCATGGCTTTAAATTTTTGTTTGGAGCAAGGCACCAGTGGTTCACGCCTGTAATCCTAGCTACTCAGGAGGCTAGGATCTGAGGATCAGTGTTCAAAGGAGCCCAGGGAGAGAAATTTGAGAGACTCATCACCAATTCACCACCAAAAAGCCAGCCACAGAGCTGTGGTCAAGTGCTAGAGCACGAGCCTTGAGCAAAAGCTCAGGGAGAGAGCCCAGGCCCTGAGTTCAACAATAATTTTGTTTTGGCCGGGCGCTGGTGGCTCACGCCTGTAATCCTAGCTACTCAGGAGGCTGAGATCTGAGGATCGCGGTTCAAAGCCAGCCCGGGCAGGAAAGACCGTGAGACTCCTATCTCCAATAAACCACCAGAAAACCGGAAGTGGCGCTGTAGCTCAAGTGGTAGAGCGCTCGCCTTGAGCTGAAGAGCTGAGGGACAGCGCCCAGGCCCAGAGTTCAAGCCCCACGACCGACAGAAAAAAAAAAAATAATTTTGTTTTGGTTCAAATGAAATGGATGGGTTGGACATATATTTCAGCTAAAGAATAAATATAAACATTTTTCAGAAGCAGAAATAGACAAAGTAGAAATAATATATTCAATCTAAAAACACATATGCTTTATTTCCGTACATTCTTAGGAGTATGTTAATCAATATTTTAAATGACTCATTTCAATTCAACAAGCACAATCATGATTGTTACAATAATCTAAAGTTATATTTTAATTTTTTAAAGAGAAATCACATGTGTTCATGTGGCAGAACACTGGCCCAGCACATGCCAGTTCTGATGGACAGAACTTAAAAAGAAAAGCCACCAAGCACCAATGGTTCATATTTGCAATACTAGCTACTCAGGAGACTAAGATCTGAAGATCTAAGATCTGAAGCCAACCCAGGCAGGAAAGTCCATGAGACTTTATATCTGATTAACCACCAGAAAGCTGGAAGTGGAGCTATGTGTGGCTCAAGTGGTAGAGCACTAGCATTGAAAACCAAAGCTCAATGACATCATCCTGGCACTGAGTTCAAGTCTTAGGATTAGCACGCTTGCGTGTGCGTGCGTGCAAGTTAATGCGCACACGCACACGCACACACACACACACACACACACAGAAAAGGGAAGATTGCTATGAATAGTCTCGGTTAAAAAAAATAAAAGAAGTAAAGGCCCCAAGCTTCACTCAGCTCACCACAGAAGTGATAGAGAACACGAGAACACAGTTTCCTCTATCAAAGGGCGTTTGAAGTGAAGACTGCCACTGGACCAAAGGTTCACCTGTGCAACTTAATCTGAAATGCTGATGTGAAGGTAAGACTTCAAAAAACAAGCAAAACTTTAAAAAACACAATAAAGAGAAATTCACACACACAAAAAAATTCCTAGCTCTTACCCAGGCCCGTCTACTTTGATTATCATCCACTGGCCAGAATGAATTTGCTTGATAAAACCTAGTTTTTTTCTCTATTTTACAGTGAAAAGCTGTCAAACATTGTGGCCAATTTTAATGCTGACACATTTAATTTACCAGAA